TATATATATATACATATATCTATAATATATATGTAAAGGAACATTGAAAAATATACTTCATATACATATATGTGTATTACAATGAGTCCAGTGTGTGTGTATGTGTGTCTTTTGTTTTTATATTGATTATATAACATGCTAGCCTTATTTTTCTGTATGGAATATTAAGTAATTGCTATTATAATAAACTTAAGCAAGCTTGAAGAAACCAAAATATGTGAGCTTGTTAATGTGACCTATATCAAACTCAAGTGCTCCAACTTGTTGCATGTTTTACGTTTTTTTAAACCTGGCGCATATTAAATTGCTTGCATGTTATTGAACAGAGAGCATAATGTACGCTCTTATATACGTAGAAATTATTTAAAGCCGAATAATTTATCAATCTTTTTTAATATTGTTATTTTCATGGATTGCAACATTATTACAATGATGTGTGGCTTTTTTATATACAATTTATAGAAACAAAGACATTTGGAAAAGAACTAGTGTGATTTAACTAATAGCGCGGAAAATAGTTGATTAAAAAACATTTGTTAACAGTTGTATCTCGTATAAAGAGAATAGTTTGAATACTTAAATTAACTTGATATTTTATACACAATATCATTAATAATAAGCATTAAAGATAATGTAGCTGAATAATGAATCACATTTTGCTGGCATAAATTTGTATGCCATATATATATTCTAATGTAGCTACGGAACTAATAATGTGAAAGAAGACCTTTCACGATGCGAGCAATATTATCTCGTGCGTTTCCGTTATGCGTCAAAGCGATGCACGAGAGTTTGAAGAACATTTTCCTGCTCAAATGCGAAACTTCACGCTTCTTTCCTCCCAACTTTTATTAGTATTATTAATTACGAAGTAAGAAGAAAGGAATTAAAATTCAACTTTGGATATTACTTGGCATATCCGTAGGTATTTTGGAGAACTCAGCGTGGAAAGAGTCATCGGTACCGCCAGCCGGTCGATTTGGAAATGAATTATCCGATTCATCGAGCAGTGAAGCGGAGAAGGAACTTGGAGCTGTCCACTTCGTGGTAGGCGATGGACCGGAAGAACCTGCTGCAGGAAAGATAGGAGTGCCGTGCAAAGAGAAATCCGGCATTACACGGTCTTATAGCCAGGATACAAACGTGCTGAACGAGGACAAGACTTCCCTGCCGAAAACATCGTACTCGGAAAATTCGCTCGACGTCTCAGACAGATCTTGCGGCTACCGTCCTGCATTAACGACTACAATGACAACGACGACGACGATGACTACAACAACGGTAACAACGAGCATCAAGAAACCGTTCCGTGAATTACCTACAATAATGTCTGTCGACGACGAGACGCTTTCAACCGATTCCAATTCTACCGCTGACAACGATGAGCTTAAACGGAGGCGCAGGAAGCTCTTTCCGGCCTTTAGGAAGAATAAAACTAAAGTTACGTGATGTTCGCTAGTCACATAATATCTCGTTTGTTACTTAATTGCTACCCGTTACAGTTAGTTATAATCCCGTGATGTGCACTTAAGAATTATTTTATCAGTAATTATTAATTATTAGCAATTACTCTTCGCGTGACACACACATACACACACACACACACATACATTTATACACTTTTTCTTTCGCTCTCTCTTTCTCTCTCTCTTTCCTTGTTCCTTCCTCTGCGTGCATATAGACTCATGGAAACGTAATAATCGTTTAGGATATTTGTTGCCAGTGTTCCTTCAACTTTGCCAAATTTGGGATACGTGCGTAAAATTATAACGAAATATAAGATTCAGCGAATATACATCATGGAAGGACATCCTTAGATAGATAAACTTTTAGAGAATCACAATATTTGAAGGAAAGTTTATAATTCTTATATGACAATATATATTTTCGGTGTGGTACTTTTTTAAAAAAGTTAAACGTTTTCTGAGAGCCGCGGATTTTTAAATAAGATTTTTTCACACGATGACGTTAGTAATAATAATAATAATAACTATTATTATCATTAGCGTAACCTTTTTTATCGCGATATAATTCCGTAGTTTTAATTATCGCGTCTAGATACATACCGGGATGAGGGACAAAATGAATTTTAAAGAATCAATCTTTTTCTCTCTCTCTCTCTTTCTCGTTTATACGTTACTACGTTTTTACGAATAATGGTACAAAGCTACATCGAGATGAGGGTATCCTCGCGAAACGAGGATCAAGTTGTTAAAGTTATCGTTGATACTTTCGGATACCGTCCGGACATATACTGGCAATATACGTGTAACTTATATCGGCAAAACAAAAATGCGAATTTTATATCTTTGTATACAATATATAAGTAGATTATAAAATATTGTGCGAAATTTTTTATCGTGAGCGTTTAAGATAATTAGATATCGCGAAGAAATTTGTTTTCTATATCTCTGGTACAGACATTTCTTAATGAGAACAACGTTGGGATTTTTACCTTAATTCCTATAAACTCTTCTTTTCATTAAAATCATGTCCATGATAAGAATATTTAAACTATAAAAACGCAAACATATAAGATAATCAAAAAACTAGTTAATACTCCGAGCCTATTTCTGTTATTACATAATCAAAAAAATAATCCATACAGATCGTCGTTTTATAGAATTTCGAACAAATTCGTCTCGGAGTGAACAATCTCGAAAGCCTGATTTTCTTTCTATATATTTTTGCTAAAAATTTTTTGATGTCGGAACAATCATACATAATAATACTTAACGCCGTTGTCAATTAATTCACCCTTATGCACTCGGCTCAGAATCAAACTACTTACAGAATGGCTTATGTTACTGCTAAAACTCTGCAGTTTTGGTAATTTGTTAAAAAATTGTCACCGTTATATTCCATACTCGCGTAATACAATTGTGTAACAATTTTCCCGCTATATCCGTTTGCAAATAGTGTTAGATTATTTTGATTATTCGTGTTAAATTTGATTATTCTTTTATGGTATGCTCAAGTATGAGTTAGAAAGCACGATTTCTGTATATATCCACCTTTATAGAAGAAATTGTTACACGCGACTTTGACAGAAAATTTATAATTTCGTGACAAACACTGACACATTTAGATCTCAATACAACTAAAATTCGCAAAACATTTGTATTTTATGACATTTAATCTATTGTCTTGTATAATATTATAAGAAACAGGTTTCATATTTTTCGCGCATTCCAAATATAATAATATCTATGACTATATTGATGAGATCATATAACTATACACACTTTGCATTATCGCATCCTCGCATCCATGACAATGATTAATATTCCTTGGTATGTTGTATTTCCAGTAATTGATGGAACTCACGAACGTCATGTTTATCGTCTTTATACAGAGAGTACGCACAATTGTCGGCTCCGTTATCACTAAGAAATAGAAAAAATACGAAGCGATAGAAGCGAAAAGATACGAGATTAAAATGTGTCAGCTTTGTCACCGAATCTAATTTCGTTATTAAAAATGGTCGCTAGCTTTCCATAAAATATTCTTCCTTAGTGGATTTCGAAGCAATGAATTAAATGTTTACAAGGGACAGTTTTTAAGGATATGTATCTTGCTATATGTTACTTTTAAAACGAACAATAGAGATCTGATTTCATTATCTATATATATTATATAAGCAATATGAGATATATATATTTAATTGGATAAAGAATTTTTGGTCTGTCGCACTTCCCTGCGCCGTATTGAATTCTCTTGTTGAGTATATATTTTAGAGACGAGAAATATAGAGCCATTTAATTAATGTATATATCTGTATTTAAATTATTATAGTCTTAATATGATATATGACAATGTCGCTTGCGAACGCGACACGTCTTCCCTGTAATATGTAAAAGTGACATTTTACAAAAATAAATAAGCCAAGTTTAAACAGAAAAAAATGTTAAACGAACAATACGATTGAATATGCGTGCAATACAGGATAAATAAGCAAACACATTTTCTTATGTATAGATATATTAATTTGTTTTTCATACGTAGAATTTTTTATTCACATTGCGTGTATATATGTATATTAACTTTATTTCAATAATTTTAACTTTCACAGATTAAATAACTTTAGTCACAGATCTTTAGTTCAGCTATAAATTACTTTGCCGACTAAAGAATACTTATTATCAATCGATCAGTTTCACGAAGGTTTTATTTGATTTTCGTTAATACATCACATGCTATTATCAACTACTTTTAACAAACCACTCGGTAAAATTCGCAATGTGACTAATTTTTTGATATTATTAATAGAATTTGTTTGCCGCTGATTTATATATATAATATATATGTAATACAGGGATGACCCAAAATTATTGGATGTTTTCTTTATAGCAAAATCTCTGTCCGATTCGGAATTTTTTTTTAGCAATTTTTCCTTAGCAAAAACGTTGAGGCAATAATTTCCGAATTATAAGCAATTAAAAAAAAAGTTTTTTACAAACTAAATTTCATAAAGTTAAAAAGTTAACACAAAACTACATTCTTCAAATCTGCCTCTACGCAATGTTTGATAGCGGCACAAACACGACTCTCCGTCCGTACAGTAAAATATATCTGCCCATAAATAAGCACGCCATTATCAAGAGTATTTAAACATCGCGCAAGAGGTAAACTGTGATTTGGCTCAAAATCTTATAAAATACTTAGAACGGTAAAACCGTTGTTAAATATATAATTTATGTAGATTTATTTGCTATATAAATTAAAATATCATTATATATAGTTCCATGTAATAACTATCGAATGACTACTGTCTACTGAGACTAGTAGTTGGAGGCTCTTTGATCAACAATCAGTGTACAAATGGTACAGTGTTGAAGAACCCATAGTCAGTCTTATATAACGTAAAAATATAAATACATAACATATATATACATATACGGACGGACGGATGGACTACATTTTGTTAAATTTCTATTCAATTCAAACAGAAACGGATCAATGTTTGACTTCATAATCCGATTGCGTTTCGTTGCAAGAACAATTGTATTTATTGATTATCTCTTAAAACGTATGAGCGTATTTTTGTTGGCGTTTCATTAAAAAAATGTGTTTTATTAAAATCCGAATATACGGATTACCAACGACATTGAACAAGAAACGAGAAAACCCGTTCAAAATCACTGATAATATTACATCGTTTACATAATCTCTATTATGCTCTTTTCGCGCACTCTACTTCGTTTAAGCAACAATTCTAAAGATGTATATAAAATGCCATAAATATAAATATACGTACATATAGCTACAAACTACACAGGTATATCAGCGAAGATCGTTAATACTGAATTTGTTGAAGAATTCGCTCGATGAGAATAATACACTTAGAAAATATTGCGCGTATTATATATGTATAATACATAAAAATAGTCGGATAAAAATTTTTAATTTGTCTATATATTCTCATCGTCTTGCTGATCGCTGGTCTCAGCTGCGGAAGGTATTGTGGCGAGTAATCTAACGGCCAGTCTACTCGGAGATCCTGGGGGTTCCGGTTCCTGGATGGCGAGTTGTCGTGTCAGTCGTGGCTTCGGTCTAACCGGCCTCGGCGTATTATTACGCGCGCTAATCTCTAAAGAGGCACTGGATCTCGAAATGCGCCAGGTACTGGTGCTGGCAGTGGTCGCGGAACCGGAAGAATCGTTGCGAGACGAGCTCAAGTTCGAATCCTGCGACGGTTTCCTAGTGATCAACCAGGAAGAAGCTTTCCGTTTCGGATCCAGCAGTCTGAGCGGTATGCCGCAATGATGCGCCTGCCGCCAGGAGTCCGATCTGGACGAGGAGAAGTTCTCGCTGGACGATACCGAGGATGCGCGTTTGTGCTGTTTCTGTTGAATCTGGGCGATCTGATAGGCGTACTGGTCGCTACGTGTATGCCGCGCGTGTCGGGAGTCGCGCGCGCATGGCCAGAATATCCCGGCACTCCACCAACGGTAGGATGAGCAACGGCTCCCGGTTTCCAAGAGTCTCGAGTTTCCACAAGCGCACGGCGTTTGAAGTGTTCCTTGGTTTTCTCGCGACGACCGATCAACGAGGCTATTGGTATTAGCTGGCGTTTGCCGATTGCTGAAATTCGAACTATGCCGGCACCTACCGATACCGCGAGTTACGCGCGACTCCTCGATTGCTTTGCATATCAACACGCAATCCTTTTTAAACTGTTTCGTAAGGATCGCGTATAGAAAGGGATTGCAGCAAGAATTGAGAGGTAGTACGAATACCGCGAAAACTTTTGCTTGCTCCAAAGATATCAACTGCAATCCGAAGGTCGCTGTGAGAGAGAAGAAGGCTATCGGTGACCAGCAGAGGAAATCAGTAAAGACGAGTAAAGCCATTCTTTTTGCTATACGAGAATCATTCGAATTCCATGCCTGGGAGCCACGTATCGCGCAGTACATCTTCAGGTAACAGCCCATCAGTATCAAGAAAGCCACTCCGTTGATAAGCATGAGAAATACCACGTACGCGAGCGCGGCACTGCCGTTAGTCTCGAACGGCAAGCAGATGGCAAATTTTCTATAATCCGAAACCCCTAATAATGGTAAACTTGCCATCGACAAAGCGAAACACCAACCTATCGTCATAATGTAGCCTGCGTGCTTCAATGAGAGCCGCTTGTTCAAATGCATCGCGTGCGTTATTGCATAATTTCTTTCCAAAGTAATCACGGCGAGCGTATAGACGCTCAGTTCAGAGCTGAGAACACCTAGGAAACCAGCCAATTGACATCCGGGCGACATTTGCCATGGTATTGCGTACATTCGAAACTCTCCCAACGTTGATGCGTCAACGACGGCTAATAAACCTGAAAAAAGATATTGTTTATTGAGATAAAATCTTTCTAGGACATTTAATGGCGGAAATATTTTTTACTATTAATTATTTATTTTAATCGATTATAATATAGCGAATATATATAAATGCAGAACTGTGCACATTGACATGTTAAATCGATGTAAAAGAGAAAATCACGAAAGAATCACCTAGATAAACACCCATGAAGAAGTCGGCAGCGGCTAAGTTGCAGACTAAAAATCGTGGCACATCCATCTTGCTTCTCGAAAATATCAAGACAAATACCACAGTACCATTACCGAGCATGGCGAGCAAGAAAACTATCCAAACACCGCATCGTAAAGTCCACCAATCGAATAAATCTTGACACGGTAGGAAAGGACCTGAAAATATTTCATGTACATTTCATCACCACAATTTATAGCGTTTCAAGCCACTTCCGGGTCACTTGTAACATACCGGGTTGCGGCAAACATTGGATATGAGAGGGTATAAGTGTCCGAGTTGTCGCTGTCGTTCGAGCATCTAGATCCTCGAAATAATCCTCTACATAGGAAGGCAGGTTTCCGGGATAGGTAAAATCTGAACCAAAGTTAGCCCAAAGTTCATTTATCTGCGATCCAAATTTGTCGGTCAAGTTATCTAAAAAATGTTATCACTTCAGTGCCGCAAAGATCGAAAACGATGCGATATAATGCGATGATACGAAAACGAGAACACTTTGCTATCGAGTGATGTCACGCTTTTGAATGATCGAATTTGCAGAGATAGAGATGCTTTGCAGCAATTAAGTGTTACAAAAAAGCACGATACATATATTTAAAATGCGGGATGCAGAATGCAAAAAGAAAAATATATAAAAAGGAAACAGGAAGGAAAAGAAAAATAGTAAAAACACTTACCCAATTGTGGCCAAATATCGCTGAAAGTGGAATTCCATAAACTGCTATCGAAATCGTCGGTGGGAAACAAAATCGATTCCCGTACCGGCGACCTTGTGACAGACTCCTCGACTTCGATCGATAAGAACGAGCAGCAGTGATAAGCGTACGACAGCAACATTGTTTGTACTCGTGGAAATCTTTCGGGAGACGGAAATTCTCGCAGCGCGGGGTTATTGAACGTTTTGAGATGCAATAATCCCGCGAGACCTCTTATCGG